CTCCTACCTTCAGGTCGGATTTTGTCAACTTGAGGTGCTTTTGTTTTAATTTTGTATCTACATTTTTTCTAACTTAACATAGGAAAGTAATTATTGTTAATGTATTTAACAAATATTTGACCAATAGAATTTGCTTTGCCTTATTACTGAGAGCTCAATGTTTTATAGACAACAACCGCCACCCATGAAATCATGTCTCAGTTGTCATCAGCAGATTCACCGAAACGCACCAATTTGTCCTTTGTGTAAAGCAAAGTCCAGGTCAAGGAATCCAAAAAAGCCAAAAAAGAAGGACCACTAATTTTTTCAAATTACATAAAACAATTTAAAGTTGTTTGTAGCTTATTCCAGTGACTGACTGTTGTAATGTTTAATAAGTAATATTGTAGGAATTATACAATATATTTTATTTAGATTATAGGAAGTACTTTTAATGCATATAATAAAATCGTAGTACTTATTTAAAGACATTTTTTATGATTTATAATTCACATTATCGTGTGTTTCTGTTAATAAATTAATCAGGAGAATATTGCTGTTTTTTTTTATATTATAAAGACGTTTACTTTATCAATAATATATTGAATTTATTTAAAAATTAATTACAAATGTTTATCCACTAAACAGCAGCATTGTAATTATAGGAGAAACAAAATTAGAAAAAATTTGTACAGGTGACGTTTTACAATTCAAAATTAAGCAAGCATTAGAAGAAACATTTTTTGTAGGATTTAAAAATTCAATTCCAAGTAATAGCAATAACAAAATGCAGATTTTATAGAGTGGTCCATTAGTGCGTTATTTAATTTGAAAATAAACAATTACTAAAAGTTAGTTCTATTCTTTGTATACACAATTATGAAATCAACAACTTTTATCTTGCCTAGTTTTCCAAATATAAACATTTTCAAAAGTCCTACAAATGTTATTCCTATTTTTGAAAATGTAGTTATGCCAAAACAACAAACTTTAGCTTCCTAGTGTGCACATCATCCAACCCCAGAATTTAAGGACAAATTCAAAAATGAGAAATTAAATTAAAAATAAAAAAACTTAATAATCTTAAATTGTGGAAAAAAATTTGAGGCATATTTTGATAACTATATCAATTCTACAATAATTCCCCCACGCACTAATTAAAACTGACGACCACCCTCCTGTAAATACATCAATAAATAAATACAAAATTCAGATATTACGATCATTTGGCTACCTAACTTATGGCGAGAGTGTACACTGTTTTTTGATACTGATTTATAATATTTATACAATCGTCTCATATAATGATTAAAACTAAAGCTATCAGCATGTCACGAATTGATAATTGTAGACGACCTAAGAAATTGATTACATTAAAATCCAGAATCTGTTATAAAGGCACCGAAGCCGAAGACTTGCTTTATCGGTGTCCAATAGTAACGCTCCCAATTTTCCCTTATTTTTTCTAATTCTCCACGGGGAACACCCGTTTGTACTAATCGTACTTCTGTATGATCCTCCTAAATAGATAAAATAGTTATAGAAAGGAGTTCAATATCTAGAAAGTAAAATTAACAAAGAAAGCAATGAAACTTTAAAAAAAAAAATTTTTATCTTAGGATACTAAAAGACAATTCTAACGTAGGGTTTAAATACTAAAACTAATAAAAAAAATGCTTCTAATTACTTTTTCTTCAACTAAAAAGACTAAATCTAGCAATTGTTTGAACAATCGCTGTTTAACTATTGTTATAACAAGTTAAAGTTAAACAACTACCTTTTCATCAATTGTTATTTCTACAGTAGAATAATGCCCCTCTGGCCAAGCCTTGTATCGCCACTGCTGCTGTATCTTGGTTGGTGGTTCAAGTTTGTCAAAATGTCCAGATATATTCCCTCCAAACAATTCGAACTTGCCCCCTTTGACTGGCTCTAACTTAACTGGCCCTCGTGTAAATGACGAGACCATCTCTATTCGTGTCATTGCATCATAAAATTCGCTTGCGCGACATTGGAACTTTTGTGTTAGTTTCAATGTAGATGTGTCAATTTTTAATCCTACCTCCTTTTTACTATCTTTTTTGGACGCATTTGATTGCATATTTATTTTCTTATCAAAACCACAAGAGAGATTGTTTATATCATTTTTGTTTACCACCTCATCTTTCCTTGGAAGTATCATGCCTTTGGAGAACTCTTCTTTCAAGCTTGTTATATAGTTTCCTAATTTTTCCTTAACAAACTCTTTTCCCACAGACTGCATTATTTCTTTTAAAACTTCACCTTCTTCTTCATTATCTTTAACTGATATTTGTATCTAAAAGTCCTTCAGTTTAAAAAAAGTTAAAATAATCACGAAATAAACTTACATCTAATTCAGATACATCATTTTCCTCAGACAAGTTGGGTACAGTAACTTTTCCTTTGTGTTTCGTTCCTGTTCCTTCTTTTAATTTTCCCTCCCACTTTAAAACTAAATTCCATTCATAAAAAAATATTAATTTGCCTTTCCTGTTATTTGCATAAGCTTCTCCTTCACATTTTTCTACTTCTTTAATTTTAAGATCCGCTAGATCTGATGTTACTGTAGCATCTGTGAAGAGATTTTTAATACGTTCCTGAGACCAATTGCTTGCATTTTTCTCTGTCCAATGCCAGTTATTAACATTTGTTGCATCAGGGCGTTCTTCAACTATCCACCGAGGATCTCCTTCGCCCCATTTGGCCATTTTAAAAGCTTAAAAGAATTAGTGGTTCGTGAACTAATTAGTGGTAACAATCATGTAAAACAAAAATACGTCACTGTTACTTAATAAAGCAAATAAAAATAAGTAATGACTCTTGCTAATGTAATTATTTTGGGTGCTTACCTTAAAAATTATGATTTTCTAACCTTAAAAATATGATTCGACAGAATATAAGGCAGCTGTAAAAGAAATTGATGTATATTATTGTGTCAAAGGCTTATAATCAAACAAATGCACTTTACTTTAGCACTAATATGCTGTTTCTCCCAGTAAAACTTCTTATATTCCAGAAAATCGAAAAGAATTACAAGAAACTTCTAGAATTATGACAACCACAGGTGACAATTTTCTATCTTTCATTTACCTTAACCTATGCATATAGTCATCTCTTTTTTAAATTTTTAATGGTTCCTCGTTACAAATTTTACGCAACAGATGGCGAATGAAACCCGATTATCAAATAAAATAAACAATATTCATCTCATTCTCTATCGCTAGATGGAAAACAGTGCCCGTTTATAAATTAAAATCGTATTAGGTGATTATTTACTGTGACCAAATGTATATACAGGGTGGCTCAAAAATAAAAAAGAATCCATAAGGTAAGTCTATTTGTTTTCTGAATACAAGAATAATAATATTTGAGTTAATGGAGTATTTTTTTATAGGAAATAATTCAATTCGAGTAATTTACAATTTCATTATTAAATAAAATAATATAATTAAGATACAAAAGTACTATTTAATATTTCTCGAATAGTTATATGAATTACAGTCAATTTAAAACAATTACTTCAATAGAAAGAGAAAACCTAAAACTTTAATTATTGGTCACTCAAGTTATTTGACTTATTAAGAGTTAATGGTACTTATCAGACAAAAAATGAAGAATGCCTACATAATCATCACTTTTCAAAGCATAGTAAATGCCTTCCATCTTCCAATAATTTCACGAGCACTTCCTTTTGTTTAAATTATTTTATATATTTCAACAAAAATTATGCCGGAAAATATCTATTCGACACTGCACGAAAAGGGTTAGTAGGTACGTACCATGAGATTCACTTCCCAAAGTTTAGTAAATATCTTCTATCTGCCAACAATTTCACGAGCGCATTTTTGTTTATATTATTTTATATATTTCTATAAAAATAATACTGGAAAGTACCAATTTCACACCACACACGAAAATTATTGGTACCATGAGATTCTATGTAATTTTGTTACATAAATATCAGGGCTGATATTTAGCCTTCAAAGCCTAATAAATACCTTTCATCTACCAATAATTTCACGAGCGCCTTTTTATATTTAAATTGTTTTACATATTTTAGCAAAAATAATCCCGGAAATTATCAATTTGACATTGCACTCAAAAATTGTTGGTACCATGAGATTCTACGAATCTTTTTACATAAATAACACTCAAAGCTCAAAAGATTAATAAATACTTTTCATCTCCCAATAATTAGACAAAGCTTGGGCTTGGGGCACCCTGGTCCACCATTAAAAAAGGCAGTTATTTCAATATTACAGATTTTCTCTCCCATTTTATTTACACAAACGTATTTTAGATGTACAAAT